CACTGTTTCCCATGGGAATACTGCACCAGCTATCAGGTGTCCCTCACTGTTTCCCATGGGAATACTGCACCAGCTATCAGGAGTCCCTCACTGTTCAATAATTAAAGAGACAGAGCTACAGCATAGCCAGCACGGGTACTGGAGCACCCTGGAGCAGAGACCCAGCCTGGCTCAGCTGAATATGGTTACTTTCCAACAGCAGCGATCACTGGGGCAGCTGAGCAGTGTTTCAAGTCTACCTTGAGATGATGATGGACGAGAATCACTAGTGTCCTGTCCGGAGGGACAGCAGATACTGTAGGTGCTGTCAGTCCCACCTGCTGCCTTGTGCTTTCAGAATACCCAACTGACTAACATGAGCAGCAAACCAACAATGGTTGGAGGCAGAAATAATTTTGGCTAATGAATAATACTCACTGAAAAGGGTAAGACAATTCCCAAAGAAACATGACAGGATATTTATTTATCGTTGACTGTCCTTTGCTGGCTTCTAATATCATTCATTATTGTTACTAAAACAGTCATTGTTGACCCTACAGCTTCCAACATCTTGCTGTGAAAAAAAGGCACATGGTTTAATCACCTGTCCCTACCTACCCCTTCCACTCCATTCTTATCTGAGGTTCAAGCAAGAGCTGCTTGTGAAATTTCAAAACTCCAGAGTGTCACAATCTCACGACACACGTTGGGACCTTCCACGTTAAGCGGGCAGAAAAATATTCGAGCCTCACATCTCATACGTGTAACACAAATTCTCTGTTATATTAATTGTAGGCTATTTACTGGGGGGTAGGCTATTAAAGAATATGGAAACTGCTTCAAATTAAACCCTCTAAAATTCGATTTAGCTTCTGAAAACCTGCCAATGTAATGCGCCATTACACGATACTTTAATTTTTCAAAAATGCAAACTCTAATTTAAATTGGGTAAGAGATGTGCGAGCATCCAGGGTACAGAAAAATATCAGACTTGGTTTCCAAAATGTGCTTTCAAAATTAAAGCGCTTGGAATATAGAACCCCCTTTCTAATTTGCCTTAAGACCTTGGTCTTCACAGGGAAAAACCGAACCGAACCGGGGCCCCACCGAGTCTTGTGACTGACATTCCGGTGCTAAAAAGCTGGAAGAAACGCCTTTTACTATATTTTTATGAATCGTTATCTGTTCCTAGGTTACCCCGGGATTTACAGTATATATTACGGGTTTGTTCCTATCGCGCTCTGCTGTTGGTCGGCACCATTTCACACCTGTACCGTGGCCGTTTCTGCCCGCCTCCGCAACGGAGAGTTTCGGTCAAAATAAAATACCGTCCGATTAACGGGGACTTGAGAACACAGAATAACCTTAACGATAGCTCGGAGCAGCGCCTATTCATTCGGACACGTTTAACAAAGGAGAAACGTGTTTTCCCACAGTTATCGATACTTTCCCATCCTAATGCCATGCGGATAAATACATTTAATAATAAATTAACTCATTGTTTAAGGGTAAAGAAGAACACACACTAATTTTCCCCCCAGGTTTTCTTGCATAGCCTTCTTATGACCCCTCAGCAACTGGATGGGAACTATACCCTCCTTTAATGTATCACAGATAACAGATTTACTGGAACAAGCTACAAAAACCCTATCGCTTATTCCGTTTCCCGTGAGCAGGAAACCGCACTGCTTTTCTACTTATCCAAACACAGCCTATACGACATGACCTAATATCGATTTACAAGATTTGCCGGCTGCCCGTATATCCTGCAGATCATGCAATAATTGCACGGTTTGTCCAGGTTCAATGAGCTTCAGTGGTCAGACCGATGAGCACGTGTTGCGAAAGCGATTACAGCTTTCGAAAAGTTCATTTTCTGTCATATTCACAAACACGTAATACAGTAATATTTTGGTCCATCATTGTGACCTACTGAATCCTATCCGCAAGTTAAAAGCACCTATGAAATTCAAAGTCCCTACCTGATGTTATTCCTGGCTGGGTTTCTTTTAAGCACTGTGGAAGAAGGTGCCTCCAATAATTCCACCAGGGCTTTCAGCAGAAGAGGTGCGGCTTTGCTCGGCATATTTCTAAACGGTAGTAAAACTTCCAGCTTCTTGCTCCTTCTGTACCTGCAGCTTGAAGTCCGCTGAAGTCCGGCGTATTCCCATATATGGGAAGTGACTCGGGGAGTGTGATGACGTCAAACGGAGAAGGCGGTCCTCTTTGATCCAAAGTAGGTGACGTCGCCGTTTCCACAAATTCTACCTGTACAGCAAACCCTGGTCGATAACCTAAGGACTAGCTAATTTAGTAAACAATTCTTCGCGACTGCAACCCAAGATCTATGACCGCGTGCAAAATATAGGCATTTAATTGCAAACTCTTTACACAAGGAGCAATGATTACGACCGTTTAAAATATTAATTTTCACAATTCATTAGAAGGACTCAATCAATTAGGTTCATAATTTTACTTCCCCAGTCCCATACTGGAAGGAGGACTGTCGATATGTTTATCCGCCACGAACAAAAAACATCGGAAAATCAGATCGACATCTCTGCATGGGTATTTACATGTTGGGATGAAAAACGATTTAAAAACAAAGGACAAGTAGCAGGGCGGAAACCTAGTGACTCATTTAGAGAAAATTACTAAAACAGAGGACAGGATATATAAATTAATTGAAATAACAAATAATACCCTATTGCACGTTTATACACTGTATAGAATTAAATTAATCAGATAGCCTTTTTGGCAAAGGTACAGATAGCACATGTCTGATCTTTGTCCACCCTTTAGAACATGAGAACAGTAAACAGTATGTCAGCTCCACAGCGCATTAAAAACAGGGCGCTTTCTCAAGAGGACACGAGGCAATACACAAGCCAATTAGATGCAGATGACCAGACCCGGCCGAGCGCTACAGATTACGTTACATAATCGTCATATGACGTCACCGACGCTCTACCTATTGATAGAAAGGCTGTGCTGTGACCTTTTTCTTAAAAGGTCAGCACCTTTAAGCCTGAAAGATCCGGCGAGCAGAACATGAGAATTTCCAGAACACTCCACATTCCAAACTCAGGTCACGCAACAGCATTCCTCAACCGCTGACGCTCCGCTTTACATATTTAGCAAGGTGACAACAATTTAACCAATTTAAATTTTCCCGAGACAATACATAATTGCTCCTTGCAAGGTCTCTAACTGTTGACCTTTGAAAGCGCCTGTGCCTTTGTAATAAGATGCAAACTTCGAAAAGTACCGATTTTAATGTTGTGCAGACTTTATGGCTATTATCATTTTCAGACCCAGCAGTTATCCTAAATATACTCACTAACATTTCTCTAACATACTTCCCGAATTTCTCCTTATCTCTATGTGGTTAGTACTGAAACGTGCTTTATTTCCAATGATTTCCAATAGATTGCTGTTCAGCAGTGGTTAAAGGCGTCACCGTGTGGCCAGTATGTCGAACTGCAATGAACAGGTGTAATTTGCACCTCTGACCTCCAATAATAATAATAATAATAATTGCTTAAACTTATATAGCGCTTTTCTGGACACTCCACTCAAAGCGCTTTACAGGTAATGGGGATCCCCTCCACCACCACCAGTGTGCAGCATCCACCTGTGCCTTCTGAACTAATGTTACATCCGTGCATAACATCAGGCAGGGCCTGATACAGGAATTGTCTCTTCATATCATGTGAGAGAGTTGTACTTTTTTAGAGCGTGCCCATTTTGGCCATGAAAAAATCTTTTTGATCACTTTATCATCTGCCCGAACCAGGGACTGCACGAGAGAGGTGAGCTCGCTTTCCCCTCGTTTTCGACTTTATTTTGAACGTTTTCAGAACTCGTACAGCTGGAAATCACAATCCTGATTCTGTTACATTTTCAGCCTCAAACTTTGTCCTCCAATTTAAAACAAAATCAACAAAAATGCCTCTAAGGTCTGATACCTTGAACATTAAAAATAAATCTATACATTTTGGTCTTCAGTAATGCAATGAAGTGAATTTGACTTGCGTCACTTCAAAATCACTATACATGATATTGAATTTTTACTTATGTTAATATGCATCATTTGAAAAGCAGGGTTTTAGAAGAGGATTAAATAGTTAAAATACAATCTGACAAAGTCTTCCAGCATCGGATGTACCAATTCTCTGGTCTGACGTGGGGATTAGTCTTCTGTACAATGCACTCTCTCGTTGCAGCTGTAACATTAATAAATACTGCATATTACCAAAAATACTCAGCTTCTGATTTACATTACAGGCACTGTGTTGGAAGAATCAGGGCTAATACTGGCCCAGCATGACACAATCTCTCGGTCTGTGTCTCAGTTTGGTGGTTCGACTTTGTGCTGCTTATAAAGAGGAGCTGAGATTTCTCCTCCTTTGGCTTATTCTCTCTTGGAGAAGATCCCAGGCTTTCTGCACCTGGAAAAAAATGAATCAGGAGTTTGAAACATATAGGAGATGTGATGCACATTCAGGAAAAAGCCCATGGTATTTTTTTTTAATCACAGTTCAGTATGTGATGCACAGGGAAGCGCTCTGGGGCGTCGGTCACAGCACTCCGACCCCTTGATCCGGAGTCAGTCACACAGTCGGAATGTGGGGGTCACCGTGCCGAAAAAGAAATACCAGGACTTCGCTGGGCTCAAGCAGCGAAGAGGGGAAATCCCCAACCCTTGGTTTTCACAGAGCGGAGAGAGAACTGAAAATGTTATTTGCTGAGCAGATGCCCTTACACAAAAAAGCTTGGCTGGGCTAGAGGGGTCTTCTGATGACTGAGCTCTGCTCACTCTGTCTGCAAGTTGGTAAGGAAATAAGCAGAGGTTTTTCCTCTCATTTCCAAGCTGACACATAATAAGAGGACAAAACACAACCTTTCCTTTGTGGAGCCTCTTCAGATATATTCAGATGTGCACCTAAATGCACTGTGTTCTTTTTCTCTCTGCCCTTTTAGTTTCCAGTGTGGAAATATCCCTTTCTTAGCATCTGACACCCTGAGGCATCTACATCTTGTGTGCCTGCCGGCCTGTGCACTCACTCACATCCAGGTAGCGGTAATGGGGCCGAATCTGTGCCGTGTGAGAGCCAGATCACGATACTGGTGCTGCACAAGCGCGAGAACAGTCAACGCAATCTGACGCCTCCTGCACAGGTGTCACACCTGTCCGGCTCATGCCCTCACCTGTCTCTGCGTCACCTCTGGCTCCCACAGTGTGCACAGCACCACGTTCGCGCGCTCCACCTGCTGGGCGTTGGTCCACTGGCTCGCCAGCCTCCTCCGCGCATCCTCCTCGCTAGCCCCGTCCCGCCGCGTGATGCGGGCGACAGCCTGCGGGGAAATGAGACTGCTGAGCTCTGGGCGGAGGACGAGCAACCGAAAGCTGCAACCCTGCCCGGCCCTGGCCCACTGGCGGCCCTGGGAGAGCTCCCAAAGGGTCTAAACAGGATTCCTGGGTGGCGTCCTGTCGTGCAGGTTTATTTTTAAATCTGGTACCAACATCTTTTTATTTTTACAACTTACATGGTATAGGCAGCTGTATGTGACTGGAGTGTACGGCCGCAGCTCCTGTATGTCTTGAGACATGCTGACGTGCTCCTCTGTGCAAGTTTTACCCACCTGCACAGGCGTGGCGACAGCCCCACAGTGCTTTACAGGAGAGCTCATGCTGATTGGAGGAGCAGCGCATTTGCCAATGATGTCACTGCAAGCCTGAAGGCACCCAGCAAGTCACATGAGTCACTTGCTGGCAAGACAAGAGGATCCTGGGAACCTCATCCCAGTGGTGATTTATGAATTGTTTACCGCTGCTTGGAGGAACTCAGTTCGCAGCTGGGCAGGGATGACTTGCCCCAGACAGGGACCAGTAACATCAAGACTGGGACTCCCAGTAGCTTTCCTTACGTTCCTGTGGACAATGCTGAGGAACAATGGGGCGAGGTGCGAGAGACAGGACTGAATCCTTTGCAGTAAACATCAAATGCTTTTCACGGAGCTCTCCTGTGGAAGAATGATCCCTAATCCCAGATCTTACATGGTATCCAGCCACCTACCTCCTCCTCTGGGATGATGGTGACCCACACCTCATGCACCAGGTCTGTCCAGCCAGCCTCCAGCAGCACCGCAGCGTCGACCACGCACACCGTCTCACCTGCCAGGAGCAAGGGCCCAGTGGCAACAGCAATGAGAAACGTGCATCTCATCTGAGCCCCTCACGTCTAGAGATTCTCTCAGTTTTGTGTCTATTTGCATTCGTCCTCTTCGTCCCAGATAACCAGCGTTCAGCTGCCTCACCCACTCATCTTCAATTTGACACCACAGGCTCCGATATCTCCTGGATTCACATTCAGGATCAGGATCAGGATAGGCCAGGAGCACTCAGGAGACTTAGCGTCTAAAACAGGGATCTGAATCCGAACTCCGACAAGTACTGTCAATGCACGAGTCCACGAGTGTGCTACTCATCAAAAAATTAAGCAGTCGCAAAAATTGTATCTTCTGTGATTCCATGACATGACTTTCTTAGTGTCTTATCTTACTACTTTGAACAACTTTCTCTGATTAATGCAGAAAAATCGAACCTATGTATCAAATGAACTACAGTTGAAAATGACCAATGTGTCCCTCAAGTAGAAAACACGTACGCACAACAAATCTTGTTGCGTCCATTGCAAAAAAAAAAAGAATGGCTTAAGACCACAACTATCACGAGGGGTGTATTAACAGAAGGAGATTAGTAAAATCCTGAAGAAAATTATTTCACTGTGAAGTAACAAATTAATAATATCGATACATACCCTTCTCTCCAGCATCTCTGATTTGTTTCTTGACTAGGAGAGCGATCTCAGGCCACACAATGTCTGTCAGGCATTTCAGCTTTTCCTTCAGCAGGAGAAATGAAAAATTCAGATTTTAATAGGAAAGAACACTCCCCTGCTCATGAAACCACATAACAAGGGCTTAATAATAAAGGCTGACAGACCCTCTAACTGTACCTTATTCCCAAAGACCTTTCTGCCAAGAGCGCGCCGGTTGATTGTGCCATCTTCGTTCCGAATGTCTGGAATTGGGGAACAAATTTCACAATGCAGAACAACAGGACACCGGTTCGGCTCACCTGACACGTATCAACGTCTCAGCACGTCTAGTTGAAATCGAGAGGTAAAAGACAAAAACTGAATTTGCAAGGTTGGTTGATAAAGCAAAACATCACAGAATGAATAATTAGAACAAAATTAGGAGGCTGTCTGGGTGGGGATGTGAGAAGAGCACAGTAGCAGGTACAGTAGGGACGCTGCAGTACTGTAATACCAGTGTAAGAGGTACAGTAGGGA